CCCTCCCCACCCCCCCAGCATAGAGGCCACCAGACTCAGCTTTTCCTTAAGTGATCATGTCAGCTTTGAGGTCTATAATGGAGCTGTAGTCCTTAAATCCAGACACTGAGGTCCTCACCGCGCTGCAGGGACGACAGGGGTGTCCATCGCCGACCCCCAGCGGGAGTGCGGGTCGAATCCCACATGGACGCGCCCTCCTACCTGCAACCCAGCAATCAGCACCCAGTTACACTTTGTATGTTTCCTAGTGGGGGGGAGTAAAGGTTGCCGGGGGAGGGTGGTGCCACCGGTTGCTAAGTTGGTGCCACAAGCCAGGGGGAGCACAGAGACAGTGGCATTTACATGGGTGGGGGGGGGGGAATTTTCTCAGCAAAGTACACATAAACTGGGTAAATGACTGCACCAGGGTACAGCAGAAGAACCACAAACACCAGAATGGGCCGGATCAGCTTTGCTTATTGTTTAGAGGCTTTGGCACTCGACAGTAGGGAATATTATCCTCTTTACCTCACGCCGAGGGTGAGATCGCTCACCGCTTCTCTTTGGCTGGTGAGGTTGCCATGGTAACAGTTGCCTTACAGTGATTCCCCACCTGTACCCAGTGGCTTTGTAGTGGCAGGTTATTCATGCCGGGTGTGATGTCAGTACACACCTGCAGCTGTTTATGACTTACTACTAGGTAGAATGTATGGTTTAAGTCAAGCTGTAATTGCACTTGTCAACTTTGTATTGTTACACCAGGGAGAAATAAAGATCTATCTTTTCCAGTGTGTTTAAATGCCTGTGAGTGACCCTTTCCTCTGTTCAGGGATATCAAGCTTCCTGTTTTATTTGTCACAATACACAGTTACACTCTATACTTCCATGTTGTGAAATGCATTTGTTCCAGTTGTGATTTGAGTTCTGTCATTGTATTGTCGGGCTCACTACAATGACTACTACAGATACAAAACAAGGAAACAAGGTAAGTTGGGAAACATCATAGTTACCAAATCGTTAGGATGGTTAACACTTAATGCACTGCACCGCACCGTGGCTACACTCAGCCAAATGTGCTCATTGCGTCTTTTCCAATGTTTATTACGTCACTTTCCTATTCTTAGCGTTTTCTGCAGTTAATAATAACTCGAAGGTCCCTTTGAACAAAACCGGCCGCTAAATGAATAAACATAAGGCGAAATTATTAAATTACAAAAAAAGTTTTAAAAATCTAGAATAGATAAAAGACCACACTGGAATCACATTGTTCACTAGCACCATTCTGGTAAAATTCCGGTTTAGCTCTGACAGCCATTCACAAAAAAAGGAAAATTACCAAAACGTTAATTGCACACAAGCATCATTATAGTGTTTAGCTGAAATGGGTCCTTCAGATTTCCCATAAGGTTTAGCAGATATCAGATTCTGTCTGTGTCATTTCATTGCAGCTTTTTTAAGATAAGCTTCTTCATTTAATAACATGTCAGGATGCACCAAGCGTTAAGGCTACCCTAGTATTTTACATATTTTATGAGAGGAAAATGCATAATCTCCCATATTCATATTCATGTAACTGCATTCATGTGAAGCTCACACTCATTTCTGTGTCTCTTATTAACCATGAAAGGCCTGTTATGAAACTTCAAAGAAGCCATTATCATTCATTAAAAACATGGAACCCACTGTTCCTGCTCAAGATGACAAAACAATATAGAGTAACTAGGTTATGGTAAGCCATTTAATGAATGTGACTGAGCCAGAATTTCTCAGAATGCTCAGGTCCTTCTCAGTAAGAAAGAGTGTCAGTTGTGTGTGGTTTAAAGATCACCACGTGTATAATGAGGTTTTTTTCTCATGGACACACACCGAAGGCGGCTCTTGGACATAAGCCTCTATCTGGACGGTGTCAGTCCGACCCTGTTGTATGTGTTCCATTTTGACCAGCAGGTGTCGCTAGTCATCCTGCTTCCCGCCTCCCTCTTTTAGCTTTCAGCCCTAGTATGTTTCTCTGCTCCCTGGGCTGCCACGTAGCTCAACAGGTTGAGTGTACAGCTTGAACCCTCCCGTCATTATTGCCCCCTCGTGGTCTCTTCATTTATGGCTTCCCCCATTGTATCCTGCTTTTCTTTAATAAAACCTGCTCCATGGATCGTCATCTTTTCCCCGCCTGCTCCGTGTCCCGCCGTAACAGATGGGTCATGGGTACCAAGTCATAGCAAGGTGTGAAATATTCCATAAATTTCCGGTTCAGCCCAGTCAGACGAATCGTTTGTGTTTTGGATGGCTGCTACGCTGTATCATTGTCGGGGGGCTCGTGTCAGAGTGCCAAGGCCCATTCCTGTGTGGATCATGTGATACGCCACAAATAGGTACAAGATCATCCAGTCACATATGCCCTTTTTTGTTTGAGTTCTGGCCCCCGACCACTTTGTACGAAAAAAATGTCTGTCTCCTACAGTGCCCTGAGACCAGAATAACAAAGAATTAGCGGGAGGGAGATGGAGGGCAATATTACCCTGGCAGGTAATCGGATCGTTGTCATCTGGTATCAGGGAATCCGTGGTTCAGGGCCTGATGTATCCCGGAAACCACGGAAACTGTAACCAAGAAACCCTTCATTCTGTCCCATTACCGAGCCCATTACCGGCATTACAGGCTTAGGCCCCCGTCTCCGGTACAGTAGCATTTAGTTAATTTAAAATTCCACAGCCCCACTGGCAGTTCAACGTCTTTGCCAGCTCTAGACATGAGAGCAGCTCATAATTCAGAGCCAGATATGTTTTGCTGGGGCTCTAGGGTAGAGTGACCCAAAATAGACGACTCGGTGCATTACTATTTCACCAGCGAGTTGAGCCGTGTCACGGGGAAGGGTGCATGAATCTCTCCCACTGGAAACATCACTGTTCATTGCCGGGTCATTATTCAAGGGTATGGCTAACGGTCTCCACTGACAAGTTGATGTGCATATGAATGGATATTTTTTGGGAACAAAGGAACAATGTTTACAGCACTGCGTTCCCTTCAGAATCTCAGGCCACCTCTTTCAAAACGATTTTCGAAGCTTTTTGCTGTGTCTGTCGCATCCGGTCCAAGTCCCACTTAACGGATTATCGAACATGAGGCGTGGTGACCATCCGCTATCGTGCGTGGCTCTGCCTCCAGATGGTTTCACTCGGTAATCTTTCACACCTGCAGTTAATCTACAGATTCATGAACTTGCTTTAAGTTCACTCACTAACTTCTTGTTCAGTCTCGGGTACTCAGTCTCGGGTACTCAGTATCGGGTACTCAGTCTCGGGTACTCAGTATCGGGTACTCAGTCGCGGGTACTCAGTCTCGGGTACTCAGTCTTGGAATTCATGTTTTTGATCCGCTCCTGGTCTTTCATATTCCTGCTTAGTTTACAGATGTGGACCTGTTATGCCTGTCTTCAGTCCTCCGTTTTCTTGTCTAGCTCGCTGTACTGGATTCTGCATGCTGCTGGCCTAACCCTGCCTCGATTCACAGTTGCGTCCTGTGCTGATTCCCCCTTTCAGACGGCATTTCAGTTCAAGCCCACCGTCTCACCCATGTCCTTCAGTCCTGCCAGCATTAAGTACTCAGAGACCAACCTGCCAAAGACGGAAGGCCTGACGGGCACAGGACCTGGTGCCGTGTGCATGAGCCACATGCCGCGTGTCCATTTGTCAGCACCACTGTTCCTTATTTATTAATAAAGTTCTATTTTTGTTCATTTTAAGTTCTGTCTGACCTATTCCCCTTGCTGTGCTGTGGTGTTAAACTTCCTTATGGCTAATGGTGCTTTTAAGTCGTTGAAATAAATATCCCTACTGTACTCTATATTTTCTTTATTAATAAACAGTATACTTACACAAACATGCACTTTATTATTAATAATCTACAATAATATAAATCTTTTTTAAAAAATTATGTTAAAAATGAGGCCTTCAAAATCCTGTGATTTGCATACATTTGCAAGCCACTATTTTCATCCTGTTCTTACCTTACTGCTTTTCAGCGAAGCTTAAAACTGCGCGTCTGGTAGCATTAGGGGATAAAACAGCAAGACGATGGGGGCAGGGGCCGCGGACTTAACTGTCACGCCACACGGCACCTTTTATAACAGGGTGTACACTTTAAAATCTGAAAAGTATAATGATATGACACAAAAAGATATTTTTCAGAGTGGTTATCCATTTCACCTTGTAACCAGGGAAATATTGTGTTTTTGTGCTTCCATTACCATAAACGTGACACGCTTACATTGGTAAAGCTCTGCATTTTGACGGGCAGACACTTTATTACTAAAAGTAGAAAGTTGCCTGGAATAATTAAGATGTCTGATTAGACTGCGGATGAGAGGTTCTCTCGACGTGCCCTTTCCTCGCCAGCGAGGTATCGCTTCATATTCACCTCTGGCTAGATGAAGGCACGTTTAAAATTAGGACCGGTCGCACTTATTTAAAGGTCAATTAATATCTAATTTTCATCTCTGCGGTCGCAGACCTTTCGCCTTTAAATGTGAAATTCCTCTCCTGAGCGGACAGGCGAAAGCCAGCGGCGTGGTTATTGAAATATCCTTGAGGGCTCGCACTTGAAGGGGTACTGATCTGAGGACAATCAAACCCTTTAAATCCCCGGAAGGGACCATGATCTGAGGACGATCAAATCCTTTAAATCCTCAGAAGGGACCACAATCTGAGGACGATCAAACTCTTTAAATCCTCTGAAGGGAGCAGAGAGGGTCTGCTGGTCCCATTGCACCTCTCTCTGAGGTTAAATTGCACAAGGTTTGTCTGAGGTCAGGTTATTCAAGTCAATGACAATGATTTTTTTTAAAATGATGTGTTAGTCAAAACTAAAATCTAAATTTAAGCCTATGAGAATCCAAACTATAATGTTGCCTTTAGAAAAGAAGATGACTTTTGCTTTCTCATTATGGAGTAATGAAAGGTAATAATAGAGCTTGGGAATATTATTAACACAATAGCTTTGCGTGTCATTAAAAGAGAGATATGTGTGTATTTGAAATCAGATAACTGCGTGGAACATTTGAAGGGCCACCAGATCGGTTTGAAAGATACCCGACAGTCATGTTTGCACAGGTTCCCCGGAGCAGAGACTCATGGGAAATAATGACACAGAATGTCTCCCTTCATAATGGGAGTCTCCAGGGTGCCGACAGGACTGTACTTTGCCGTGTGTGTCCCTTTGCCAACGTGTACAGGTGGCATGGCAAAGTGCTACCAACTTAAGCCACCCGCTGCCAGCCATTAAACGTGCCAAGATGTTCAGCTCCAGTGGCCTGAGGTGTTGAGATGGGAATTGCAGTTCTGCAAGCGAGTCATTCATTCCATGCGAAGGACCAAGAGGTTCGTTAAAAAAAAAAAAATCTTATTCAAACTTTGAGGTTTACCCGTTGTTTTATTAATTGAGTGTGCTCTTACATAAAGAACAGAGAACAAATGTTTGTATATCAGCTACGCTCTGTAGGAGGGAGACATTTTATAATGAAATCTTAGACTGCGACAGACCACAGACTTACAGTCATACTGAATATTCGCAGCCGAAGGCCTCTTGTTGTTGTCATGCTCGCTCGCTGGTCTCCGGTCTGTCAAGCGATGTTGTCTAATATACATCCATCTGAAGCAGCTAATGGCGAAGTTTAGTGAGAGCTGAATCTCAAGAGCTCCCACCTGTGTCTGAAGACTGTCATTGCACCAGCAAGCAAAGAGGAAAGGTACCGCATTAGGTAAGCTAAGTGGGCATTGGCAGAGTTACGGGGAAAAATATTATTGATATCTTTCATGAAATAAATGGTTGGCATCTCTCGTGCTTAGTTTTCATTTGTTTTATCATCTAGGCCATCTGATTCTTAATCTGTTTTCAAGTGTTGTGATAGTACTGTAGTATTTTCAGGCTGTAGGTGGGAAGAAATGCAAATCTGCCTAATGGATGCACTTTACAACAGGTCTCTCAACCACTGGCTGTGAGAACGCTCTGCTGGGTTGCAGGACTGCGGCAGGGAAATGCAGTTTGGTCCGTAATGGGCAGCCACACGGACGCGAACCCGGGAAAATTCCAGTCCAATACCTATGGTGAGTAACGCTGCTTTAGAACAACCCTGGAGCCCAGCCCAGGTAAGGCACAGTGCTGGAGTCCCTGTTTACAAACAGAAGCTGAAAGTAAAGAAACACGGCAAAAAATCTGCAAGCAGATTAGGTCAGGTTCCGACTTGGGTGAGGGATTTCTCTGTAAGCTGTCTGAGTCCTCGGGAACTGCGTTACGTAATCGTTAGACAAACTCCAGAAGACCATAACATAACCCACTTCTCTATCACTTCTGAGTGTCCCAACGGCATTCATTTCTTCTTGTGCTTCTTAAAAAGGGCATAAAGGATCTTCAAGGTGGCGGCTACATCCTGGGACGTGATGTCTGCGAGGGAACAGAAAGGTGTCCTGTTACAGGAGGTCACAGCCACTGGTTTTTGACCAGCAGTGAGGAACCTAAGATCCTCAGACAAGCTGAACACAGTGTTGGTCATGCTTCACTTTTCAGGCACAGCGAGGACACAAGTTACCCAACATCACCTTTGTTCCCTAAGAACTAAGAATGATAAGAAAAACACTTAACATTACATAACCTCTCCAGTTATGTTAATCAAACAAATCCTCTAATTCACATTTGCCCTATCATTTGTTACTGTGATTAATGAGGACGTTTCATCCCTAGATTTAAGCTGTGGGATTCCTAATTCTTTCAGGGTGATTATTTAGTAATTAAAACAAGGCTCTGAACTAATTCAATTTGTATGTTGCTCCAAGGTTATGTAAGAAAAAAATATGCTCTGGTCAAAACATTAGCAGTTATTAGCTTAAGCATTTGCAAGCAAATTATCTGGCTTTTTGCTGAATAATTAAACAACTGTAGACGCAACAACACACCATTTACTGTCAGACCATTAAAAAAAATCTTGTTACCATAGAGACATGATTAATAGCAGGCACGTACATAAAAACAGTCACACATTTCCTCCCCGTGATTTAACTCCCAAATTCACTTCTGGGGCTGCAAACCCCAGGCCCTTTTGACAGAAGTGCGACCTAAACACAAATGGAAATCAACCGCATTCTGAATCTCCATTTTGCCCTTTGGCAGCAGAAAGAAGTAAATTCATAAAATGCTTCAGAGGAGACGAGCGCAGCGATTCTGACCCCTAGGAAGGTGATTCATCTGAGCCAATCCTGTTTCTTGACAGCTCTCTGTTATATATATTCCAAAAGCAATTTGGATCCAAATCCAGCCTCAGTCAATCACACACACACACACAGATTTTTATTGAATTGAGTTTCCTCTTTTGGGGACCGGAAATATGGTCTTCAAAATGTCAAAAGAGAAGGTATTTATCACATTGAGGGGACATTTGGTCATTTGTAATATTACAATAAAAGGGTATTTTCAAACCTGTGTAAAATCAATGGTAATGATATTTTCTGTAAAATGTACAGTACCAGTCAAAAGTCCGGACACACCTACCCACAGAAAGGTTTATTTATACTATTCTCTCCATTTTAGGATATTTATAACAATATCAAAACTATAAAATAACATATATGGATTATGCACTGACCAAAAAAATATTCAATTTATTTCTTGGTAGGGTGGCTCTGTGGGTCGGGTCCTCGGTCGGTAGAGTGATCCCACCATTGAATAAGACCCTAACCCCATCTACTCCAGGGACTGACTGACGCTACGGTCTCCTCTAGTCCAGTTCCAGAGGTCCCACGTATATGCTGAGCTCTCATTGACCACTTTTCCTTCACTCTCAGGTCAAACTCCTCCCAAACCATCTCTACTGTGTTTAGGTCAGGTGGTCCATATCACTCTCCTTTGTAGGCGGCTTGGCGTGTCCAGACCTTTGGCTGGTACTGTATTTCATGGTAGATGGATGGATAGTATTTCCGTGTTAACGATCCATACATACACCTGTGGTGCAGCTCAGACACATCATCAGTGACGTATCCTGGGGTTATTGGGTGTTTCGGGTCTCACAACGTCATACACCCTCGCCCAGGCGACCCGGCCATGGTTGATCAGGCCCTGGCTTGTGTCTGAGCAACATGTATAGTCCATGGATCACCCTGCTTGATCCACAGCCATCTTGAAGCCTTTTCGACAGCGTCTGTGATGTTCTTGACGCCCTTTCGACAGCGTCTGTGATGTTCTTGAAGCCTTTTCGACAGCGTCTGTGATGTTCTTGACGCCCTTTCGACAGCGTCTGTGATGTTCTTGAAGCCTTTTCGACAGCGTCTGTGATGTTCTTGACGCCCTTTCGACAGAGTCTGTGATGTTCTTGACGCCCTTTCGACAGTGTCTGTGATGTTCTTGACGCCCTTTCGACAGAGTCTGTGATGTTCTTGACGCCCTTTCGACAGTGTCTGTGATGTTCTTGACGGCTTTCCTCATCAGCAGTCCCTTCACCCCGAGCATCATAAGGGTCCTTATGAGTGACTGGCCGACGAATCCTCTACACCCGACCTCCATGGGGTAACACCAGGTCCGTCACCCCCTGCTTCGGCATTCGCCCGCCAGCTCCCCATACTCGGCCGTCTTCCTCTCACAGGCCTCCTCCATTCGGTCTTCCCAGGGCACAGTCAGTTCAGCAGGACTATTTGTCTAGTTGTTTCTGACACGAGGACAATATCTGGCCTGAGAGTGAACAAATATGCTGGAAACCTTTTCCAAAAGGCAGATATCTGTATTTCATGCAGATGTACAAATAAAATCCCCGATTCCAGGACTCAGCTTCTTTGTGGACCCTTTGGATCTTTGGACATTTTTTTCTGAGTTTCACGTCGCAGTTTCTGCACTGCAGCTGTCTGCCCGCCTGCATCATCGCCTGTGTGGCCAGACCGCAGCGGCACACTGGCTTTGGACTGAGTTTCACGTCGCAGTTTCTGCACTGCAGCTGTCTGCCCGCCTGCATCATCGCCTGTGTGGCCAGACCGCAGCGGCACACTGGCTTTGGACTCACCACTGGGATCCACGTTTGGCACCTGCATCGTCTGGCTGTTCAGCAGGTCCAGAGCGAGGGTCACATTCTGCAGCTGGGGGGGGTGAATTATAACAAAGGCAGCAGATAATCTTACATCAGTCATCATTATTTACCTATTTGCATTAATAGTTTCCTCCTTCATTACTGTCCAGGGCCCATAATAATTTGGGTTTGCATGAATAAATGATTGTTTGCAATCTGCATTAATGCAATACAACAGATCAGTCAAGCATATAGTATTTTTAGACAAGGCCGAATTACATCTTCATGCTAATGCTACCTCGCTTGAATAGAGAAGCGCATATGTGCACAGTTACAATCTGCAACTTCTATAATCAGTAACCCATACTAATAGGTAGACCTCGGGGCTTTCGGCCAATCGGAAAAGTCTGGGTCATACCATTTCAAAACTGGAGGTGGGACTGAGGCTGAAGCTGTAGAGTGGTATGAAATAGCCCTCCACCTGTCCAATCAGCAGGAGAAGGATCACCCCATCTGCAAACTGAGGGGGGGGGGGGAGATGCTTCATATTTTACTGAATGCACTCTTGGTGTCATTCAAAGGAGCAAAGAACCCAGATGATCTGTGTATCTCCATTACAGCACCAGTACATGACCAGTAGAACAATAATACCAGTGCCATTCAAAATCACACAGAACTGAATGGTTTTGACAACTGAAATCATCTGCCATTTGGAATAATCACACCAGACCATTATATGAGTCTAAATATGACTTTGTTCTTCAGATGACTGTGTGCTGCTGATCTTGTCTGCCATTTAGGCAGGCTCCTGGAGAGATGCAGGGACGTAGGATGCCATTT